CAAATGAATAAATGCAAAATTTCCATTTGCGCGATGCTTCGATGAGACATTTAAAACATTTCCGCAATCCTGGAAGAAAGAACGCAAGAAGTCGTCAGTAGCGTTTGGAGGTAAGTTCGAAACGTGTATAAGACTGTCGTTCGCGGATAGCATATGGGAAATCGATTATGTCACGTTTTCATCCAAATTGTTAGATATAATTATCCACATTTCCAGAATATAAAGATTATAAGATTTTTATTGTGCGATAGATTTTCTCTCAAAAAAATTATTGTTCATAAGTTGAAGTTGTAAAATAAGAAATTATCATATCAGAATATCCAACAAATCTGGATCGGCAATTAAATTTCCAAAATCACTAATGTAAGAAATTCGGAAATCTGATTTTTTATGATAAAGAGTCCATTTCAGTTGAAAATAGATTACAAATTTATCTGGAATATATACATGGCACGATGGGCGCTACTTTTTTGGCGCCAGCTAGGGTTGTTAAAAATATCAAAAATTAGCGTTTTGAAGACACCATGGTGTCTTATAATTTTCCCTTCCTTATTGGCATGTAGAAATAAATGCGCCAATAGATTGAAGAAGAAGAATTGTTTTCTCTTAATGAACTTTAACTTTTGATATAAGAATATTAAAAACATTAATATAATTTCGATTTCGGAAATTAAATTTCCAAATTTTTGTCGATTTCGGAAATAACAGGATCCCGCATCCAACCAGCACACAACAACAAACACAAACAACAACTTTTTGGTTCTTATTCGTTTATGTACTATATTTATGTAATACATGATTTGGATAAATTTTACAAAAATAGAACCTATATTATATTCTTTTCAAAGATTCTTGCAAATCATCAAAAATAATTGTATTTTAAAAAACGATCAAATTATCCTTTCATTATTTTAAACTTAAATTAGTTTTTATGATTGACTAAAGCAATCATATTTATTCATCATTAAATAAACAAAAAAATAATATTTGAGAGTTATTTCAAAAAAAACGCATTGAATTATTAATTTGTCTCAATTTCAGTATTATAAATTTTTATAATTTCAATATTTTGAAATACACTTTTTAATATTTCAATATTTATGATATTTCAATGTTTTAAGTGGTCTCAAATTGAGCTTCTCAAATATAAGTTGGCCTATTCAAATAATAAAATTAAATAATATTTAAAATAATAAATAAAAGTAAGGGTTTCGTTTTGCTAAAATTTGTCACTTTTATAGCATATTTTTTTGGATGTTTTGCGAAACCAAAAAAAAACTATGAATATACAATGTGTGTGTAAAGAAAATACTTTATTTACTAGTTAAAAAATCATTTGTTGTATTGATCAAGTTATTTTTTCTGGATAAGATATTATATGGATAATTGGATAGAAAATATGTTGCATGCTAAGTTCGGTCAACGATAGAAATTGAGTGGAAATTAATCGTCGAGGAAGTACGATTATGTAAAGTAAAAAAATGTTGTGGGATTTTTAATATTATATATTATTTTATAATAAAATTTTTTGAGTCATTTTTAAGAAGCACATATAATTTTTTGAATTTAAAAATTAAAGTAGTGTCAAACGAATTTATCACTTAATTTAATACTCAGATTTCTTTAAAATTAATGAAAAAAAGGTTTTCTGAGAACTTTGAGAATGGTTTTCAAATTCCATTATTGAAAATATATAGGTATTGTATGAAATTCAAACTCTATATTTATTAAAAATTCTAAATTTTTAATAAAATAACTTTTCAGAGGAATATGATTTTGAATGGTTGATTAATAAGTATAAAAATGTCTACGATTTTAAGGAGGGAATTGTTCCTTATGAGGTATACATCATAACTATATACCTCATAAGGAACAATTCCCTCTTGATATCCTTGATATTTTTGAATATATTTTTTTTAATTAAAATCTCAAAAAGTATTATCAAAAGTGATTTTTAAAAAATATCTCCAATTAATTAACTAATTAAAAGTATTATATTTTTAAAATTAAATAGTTTTTCAATTTTTTTGAAGGAATTGAGATACTTCCCACGACAATAAAATTGAGAAGTTTACATTATGACTGATCTTAGCATGCAACAAATACAATTATATAATCTTGTACCTGGTTTAATTAAGCTAATTGTCATCAGAAACTTGTAATTTTTATGAATTTCAGATTTTCTTTTCATTACTGCTTTTCTTAATAGGTCAAGTTCTTATTTACGTTATAAAGTATGATATTTACAAATATCAAGTTATCATGTTTTTTGAGAAATATATGAGAAACAAACAAAAATGAAAAAGATAGGAATAGCAATGAATAGTGATGTGGGTATAGAAAATGTAAGAGATATGAATGCAAAGCAATCAGTATTTAGGACATTGACCATAGATTTCGAAAAAAAATGCTGCATATTGAGCGAAAACTATGATTATATTATAAGGCTGTCCTTTAAAGCATAATGAAACTATTCCCTTTTCATTTAATCGAATAAGATAGTAAAGATTTTTGAATTAGCTAGAAACTGATGAATGTTTTCACAATCAGATTTTAATCTCTATAATGCATAATTCACTCAATATCTCAATTTTGATATTGCGAGATATTTTTGCTATCGGTTTCGCACTTTTGACACAATAGCAAGAGGTTCTATAAGCATTATTATCAACGTAGAATCTGAATATCATATCAGAAAATGTCGCAAATCTGACATTTACCCGACAAAATAGCCAAAAATAATTGAATACTTTTCGCACAAAAACTTTAAAAATCGATAAAAATATGAAATATAGATATTAAAGAGACTTTTTATATAATATTAAAAAAAAAAAAAAAAAAAAAAAAGGTAGTGGGGCTTCCAGGCACTTCGTGCCTTCTAGCCCTGAAGATGTTTAGTATAAATGAAGTTTTTATTGCGGAAAATTGTTAGTCTTCTTGGTCGAAAACATTATATAATGTTTCACTTTTCACAAATTATATATGTTTTCATGTTTTGTCAAGACTTCTTCGTAAATGTTTTGTCAAGACTTCTTCGTAAAATCAGACAAAAAATAATGTTTAGGGTAGAAGGTTAGATATACCTCTTTTCTAACCTCTTTTCTACCCTCTTGAATTTGTCAAGATTTCTTCGTAAATGTTTTGTCAAGACTTCTTCGTAAAGACTTTGTCAAGACTTCTTCGTAAAGACTTTGTTGAGATTTCTTCATGAAATTTACACCAAAAATAATTGTTTAGGGTAGAAGGTTAGATATAAACCTCTTTTCTAACCTCTTTTCTACCCTCTTGAATTTTCATGAAATTTACACCAAAAATAATGTTTAGGGAGAAGGTTAGATATAACCTCTTTTCTAACCCTTTTCTACCCTCTTGAATTTTCATGAAATTTACACCAAAAATATATTTTAGGTGAAGAGGTGAGATATACCTGTTTTTTCACCTAATTTTTCACCTCTTTGAATTTTCATGAAATTTACACAAAAATATACTACTAGGGTCATTTACGAAGAAATCTCAACAAAGTTCTTACGAAGAAATCTCAACAAAACATAGACAAGAAAGTTCATGAGAAATTAGATGAAGAAGTCTTAACCAAAGTCTTTACGAAGAAATTCATGAAAATTCAAGAAGGGTAGAAAAGAGGGTAGAAAGAGGGTAGACCTTACCCTTCTACCCTAAAATATATTTTTGGGTCATTTACACTCATTTACGAAGAAAATCTCAACAAAGTCTTTACGAAGAAGTCACAATAAAACATCTGTCAAAAACCGCTTTTTAACTTCACTTAAAATGCCACGTAAGCTACGTAAGAATATACGTAAGAGGAAGGAGCATTGAAACATCCAAAGTAAAACTAACACCACAACAACAGTTGCAACAACAAATGCTGAATGACCCCACTATGTTGCAACAAATGTCAAGCAATCCTATGCTTTTAAAACCGAGTTGTTGGTGCACAGAGTGGAGGTTTAAGAGCGGCACTTTTTAGCGAAAATGGCAGGCTATGGTGGAGCTGCAGACGGAACAGCCTATTAACCCTCAAAGTCAATGAATTTGAGTTCACTCAAAAATCAAATAACAGATGTCAAAAAGTCAAACATAGACATACAGAAGCAAATAAGTGAAAACGAAAAGAAACTAGAATATGACAGACACACAAAGAAACTCAATGAGTTAAACGTAGAGAAAAAGAAGAAAGAAAAGAACAACTGAAAGAACTAAGTACAGAGGAATATGCAAAAAAAGTGTCAGAAAAAAGCAACAGAAGTAGCAAAAATGGAACAAGATGTCATAAAATTTGAAAAACCATACTACTCAATATAAAATACTGAAAGATGAAGAGATAAAACAAA